CTTAGGTTGGCGTAGAAGTATACTAGGTAATAAATAATTATAAAACTGGCTATTGTTATCATGAACGAGCTTAATGAAACATTTTGACAGTTAATTTGTGCCAAAATATTTGTGTTAAACATTGTTTCATTAGTAAACATTTTGCTTTGAAAACATGCAAATATGTTTATAATTCATTATAACTATAAATTAATTAAATTTGTAAAATATAATATTTTATTAAAAATATAACGAAATTTATTAATTTAATCATAATGTAGTATTACTGTACAGTAGTTATTAAAAGTTGAACTAGGGCTATATTTTGTCGTCTTGCGTATAATTGGATCAACTATTAACCCTTAAAGCTTAAACTATAATTATGGACGTTGTAAATAAACTGGGAAAGTAATCACCCAGCAGTTAGTGCATAAACTGGGAGATTGATCTCCCACGCTTTAGTGCTGTGTATGCTGGGAGATTATTCTCCCAGTTTATGCAGTTTAATGCTGGGAGATAAATCTCCCAGTTTATGCAATAGACGCAGAAAAAGATTAGCACTATTTATACTGCAGGAAAAAAGTTGCATTGCGCATAAACTGGGAGAATAATTACCAAAACTTTNTCTCTCTCTCTCTCTCTCTCTCTCTCTTTCCTCTAATGTTTAGTTCATTAAAAATAACTTGTATTAAGAGATGTTATGTTTTGTTAACTATTTATTATTCAAGTAAAACAACTATTATTCGGTCGACAAAGCAAATGAAAATGCATTAGAAAAGCGGCCAAATGCGAGGCCAACGATCGCCGCCGTCGACACCCATTGCCACCGGACATCACTATTCATCGATGGCTTCGTTGCCAATGGGTATCACAACTAATGCGAGAGAGAGAGTTTGTAGTGAGAATTAGGTCGCATTCGGGATAAATAAATCGCTTTCGGATCAGAGACTCAATAACAAGAAGCCTAAGTAACACAATCTTACATGAAATTGATGTCTACTTCAGTTAAATACCTCACTATTAATGGCGAAGAAGTCTCATATTTATTGTTTTCTTAGACAACGAATTAATTATTTGACATTTGATAATGTCTTCACATTTTTCTTGAATTCCAGTTAATTATAATGGATTTTGAATGAAAAGAATTCAATCAATTTTCGGAACCATTGATTGGCATTAGTTTTCTTCTCTATTATTCTATATATTCAATGGATTTTTATGAATAATTCAACGATATTCTCATGAATATCAATGTCTAAGATATGGATTGGAAACAAGAATGCCATCAAAAGTGACATCTTTTTACATAAAAGATGAGCAAAACTTATGACAAAAATGTAATGACTTTTTTCCTCCATAAAAACAAACACAATATTAAAACTTAACGGAAACTTACGTCTGAGAGGAGAGACCCTTCAATGCAGTCATCATTCGGTTTGAGAGGCAATCGCTTGAAGTTATACAATAAGTGATACTTTGAGAAAATTATATACTTTTTTTTAGTCGAAAGTCTGCGTAAAATATTCTCAATTTTTCTAACATATAATCACAAAAAAGAGAGAAAAAAAGAAAAACTAAAACTTTTTCTCTTAGAAAAACTTAATTAAAGACATTAAGTGATCGGAAAGTAAAATATTGTGTTCACAAAACAAGTGGAATGAGAGATGTTTTGGATCTCTCTTTTGACTGCATTTCAATTGATGGCAAAAACTTCTTTTCATCTCTCGGTTCGCTTTCGTATCGCTGTTTAGCATTTGGTTCACTCGATTCGGAGCAGTCGTACACAACATATTGAGTGGCGTAACTCAACATCACATTCACACTCAACAACCAACACATATACACACATCTCATTGCTATACCAGTCCTGTGCTAAAGCATATGAATCAACATTTATATTAAATATTTCTCAAAAATTCACTCAAAAACATAGACTTCAAACATAGGGTTTTTGACAAAACAAATATATATCTCGATTGCAATCGATTTTGTGGATGAGATCCAAGCAATAGGTGCTCTTGGAGTCAACGTCAGGACTCCGACACGTCATTAAACCGGTCGTCATATATAAAGCGATCCGAGTTTTGTATTTTATGTCTTTTTCTTGCATTTCATGAATTCATTGCTCGCAAAGTAGTTGTGATTCTAATTGAATTGATTGCCACTAATAGTGATCATAAAAATTCATTTAATAAATAAAATACAACGAAAAAAGTCAAACACAAAGAATATAAAAGTGAATTACAGTGTATTTGAATAGTCGTTGAGTTAATGATTGAGACGATTAGACAACTAAAGCGGAGAATAATACAGTAATAATTCCTATGACTTTAATAATGACAAGTAGTTGTAGTTGTGGTCCAGAAATCATTATAAGAATTGGGAATAAATAGTGGCAAACATTACATATACTATACTCTTAGGAATACTTAACATCAACTATAATGAGAATGAAATTCAATGAACTACTAAAATGTGGTTATCTTTTCGTTTTTCTAATTAACTCTTTTAATTCAATCACAAATTAAATCAATTTGAATGAATTGACTATAAAATAAAGGCTATAAAACTACTAGTATTTCTCGTCAACTATTCTTTCCTCCCTTTAAAACTCAATTTCAATGGTTTTTGTACAATAAGTGTTTTCACAGAATATCTCGTTTAATAAGAATTTTAATATTTAATTCTTGGTATTAATATTTGAAGGATTGTTTAAATTACATTAAATTACAAATTCATTAATAACTAACTATTAATAATATAGTATAATAAAGATTATGTTTGTTATATGTAAGTAAATTTGGTTAGTTGTCAGACACTGTGATTAATTACCAGAAAAGACCATAATTATAATATTTGTTGCAAATTTGTGTTGAGTGTCATTTAAAAAGAAATATTTATAGACAATAAATATTCGAAAGAGTAGTTTTGCGGAAATGGTTGTGTATTTAACACAATAAGTCATATAATAATAATAATAATAATTTTTTGCAAAGTCATAACTAAATGAATTCAATCAGTATTTTACACAATGCTTTCATTGGACCCACTTTTGCAACGATTACAAACACTTCTCAATACAACAGTTGGCATTTGAAACGAAAAGTTTGGACAAGTTTTTCACTTTTTTGATATTAGTTTTTTAAAATTGTCGTTTAGTCTACAATATTAATATAAAAAGGATTCGTTACTTATACTTAAGATGATTAATCCGTTTGCAATCATCTCAATGATATTAGTTTATAATATGGATGGATATGATTGTCATCAGGTGTATCCACCCATACCTGGAAATGTGGTGCCAATGCAACAAATGGGAGGCATTGGTCCGCCAGCAGTCAAACCTCCTATTGCCAGTCGTAAGCCTTTATATTTCTTAATATGTTATCATTTTATTAAATTTTTATAATTCTTTTAATATTAAAAAACATTATAGTACTTTAATTAAAGTTATATTAAGAGAAATAATATATTTGATGAATAGTTTTATTTATTTATATGCTGTTTAACGAGATTATCCCAGAATATAAATTGAATTCTGTATTATATTTTATATCATATTTAATAAAATATTAATAATAATTATATCAAATTAATTAATTTTTGCAGATTATTAGTACGTTTAGCATTAATTATATTAAATTACATATTTAGAAAAATATTTATTATGAAATGTGTAATTAATTTTCGAAGTTTATAAACAAAAATAGTTGTAAAAATATGTTTTTAATTGGATTCAAATATTTGCAACAAATGTCACGTATTTCTGGCATTAATTGTGTATTAAAAATGTATCATTTGATTGAATGAAAATGCATTTTGATATTTACTACATGTTGTCCACAATTGTATTGATTTATTATATTTTAGATTTTATTTTTTATCTCAAATGTTTTTCTCTGAATATAAATTACATTTCGTTTTATTATACGATTTTATTCTTCAAATCGATTGAAAACCAATAAAATAGCAATATTTTAAAAGAAGAGCTCTCTTTGCGATCGGATTTAATAATTTTTAATGCCTTTTGATTGACAGAGACCAGGGGTTCGACCCGATGTTATATCTGCCAGTGGTCTATAGTCCAGTGCTCCGACTTTAACTGCTATAACAATCCCGACATTTGCACAAACAATAACTTTAGCCCAAGTCTTGTACAACAGGCTGACTGTCCGGCCGGTTGTGAACAGTTTGTTATAACCGATCCAAACGGTAAGTCAATCGGAATTTATTTATTAAACAAATATTAATCATTAAATTAATGTGTATTTTATTAATTACAGGAATAGTACAGCAGTGGAGGCGTAACTGTGCTCCGGGTCTGAAATCTCAAATATTATTTGTCTATAAATATTATATTAAACTCTTTTTTCTATTATTTCTTTTTCTTTTAAAACATTTATAAATTCCTTAAGCGCTTAAAAAAGTAGTTTTTTCTTATAATAACTCAAAAAACTCTTAAAGTAAACCCTTTTATGTGATATGTCTTAACTCTCACTAAAAAGAGTTTAAATCTTTTTCTCTCACTTTTTTGGGTAAAATTCGTGCGAAAAATATAAATCATTTGTTAAAAAAGGATTCCTATATTTCAGGCAATATTCCTGTCATTGGATTTAACTGTAAAACTGAATACCAATTGGGAATACGAGTGGATCGATGTCTTTGTAACAAGAATTGGTGCAACTCTTCACCACATCTTCGTGTCAACGCATTTGCCATCACTTTTATTCCTCTCATCTCTTCATTAATTTTATTCAAATACCTTTGATTTTAATATATTTATTACAATCACATATTTTTTCCACCAAAAACTTCATAAAATCTTTTATTCAATACATTTATAAAAATCTATAATTAAAAATATTTCTTAAAATCGTTTGAATATATTATAACAAAAATGTAAAAATAGAGAAATGAATAAAAATATAAATTAACAGTCAATTAAATTTAATCTAATATAAAAATATACAAGAATTGGGATATAATGTGGAAAAAGTTAGTAAAATCTATATTCTTGTAAATATATAATTGTATGGATTGACATCTTTTGGACTAAAATAATTTTAATAATTTTCTAATCTTCAAACCTATATTTAATCAATAGATTATTTTGTATTTATATTATATTTCCTACAAATTTAATTACTTTAATTAATTTATTAATTATTCGCATCTTTTTTTAAAATTAGTTTTAAATTAATATTAAAACATTTAATCGCATAAAAAGGGGACAAATAATAGCAACAAAAAGTATTACAAATATTGACGTAATTATTGTATAACACAATAAGCCATGAGATTGTGTTGTAATGTATTTCCCTTTCCTTTTGAACACTGCATCCAAAGTGTGTACAAAACATACCATCAGTTGATCTCTAATCACTTCAACTGATCCCATCAGTGATCGCTTATATCTCACCCAAAGGTAAGCAAACGATATGTGAAGAGTTGTCTCACAGAGAGATATATAACTGCTGTGTATTAATGAAGCGATTGTCAAACAGAGACAGACCTACAGATCGGACACAATGTTGATGCCGAAGAAGGATCGGATCGCTATCTATGAGTATCTCTTCAAAGAGGGAGTAATGGTGGCGGAGAAGGACTTTCACGCACCCAAACACCCGGCCCTCGAGAAGGTGGCCAATCTTCACGTGATTAAAGCCCTCCAATCGCTGAAGAGTAGGGGTTATGTGAAGGAACAGTTCGCGTGGAGACACTACTACTGGTATCTCACTAACGAAGGCATCCAGTATTTGCGTGATTTCCTTCATTTGCCGCCAGAGATAGTGCCGCCGACTCTGAAACGACAGGTCAAGACCGAGTCCTCCCGACCCCGCACTCAGAAACGTGAGTCTCTTTTGTTGGCAATACCTGTCATCTCTGTTGTCATGTCTTTCCCTTTGACCGCATTATTATAACTGTTGTTTGTCTTTGATTTATAGCCGACGAGAACCGACCGCAAAGAGATGGCGGGCGAGAGAACTATCGCCGAGACTTCGGAGAGGGCGGACGTCCCGAAGGCGGACCCGACAGACAATTTGTGAGTTTTGTATTTGAATTTTTGCCATTTATTGATTGTTTTTAACACAATTGCTATGTTTTATGTGAACAGAGAGGAGGTTTCGGTCGAGGAGGCGGTGGTTTCGGTCGCGGAAACTAAATTAATATCGATTTTGTTAACTAATTTACAAACAAATCTCGAAACAAATTAATAAAAAACATTTAATAAGAAATGACTATTTGTTATATTATTTACAGTTTATGTCATAAAATACTATTCATATATGAGTGGAGAAAACGAGTTATAAATATATTATCTATTTGTGTGTCAATTGAGTTATTGTTTGGAAGACTTTGTGGGTCTGCTGTCCAACAGCTGGAAGTCTTCGTACGGCCAGATCTGTCATAAAAAGTAGATTAATTGTTAGACTATAAGTATTGAATGACAAGCGTATGCGTGGATACCCTGAGGACTGCTTTGCCGACGATAAGTCCAATAGGAATGGGACCCCAATCTCGAGAGTCGGTCGAGTGGTTGGTGTTATCACCGGTGAGCCAAACGTGTCCGCGAGGGACCACTTGTTGCGATATGAATCCGTGTCGCACCGAATCTCCCGCCACCGCAACCACACGCTTACAGATCAACGTTTTGGGATCCGCTGGACATCGAGCGACCACTACATCACCACTTCATTCATAGATACAATCAATCAATTAATTGTTATTCAATTGTACGGCAAATGAAGTGAATTTGAATACCGATTATAGCTTTTGATAAATACTGATGAATAGCGTTCAGTGAGTATAATGTCCTTATCGTGAAGTGTCGGCTCCATCGATGATCCCGAGCACTGGTCAGACATAACAAGTCATCGTTAGTCTTATAATTCAGTGTAATTACGGTTAAGATATGTATAAGTATTGCCTAACAATTTGAATGCAATTAATTCTGGTTCTCATAACTAGTGGTTAAGAAAGTCACCGATTTTTATATAAATCAATGAATAGTTAAAAATACAAATTATTTGATCCATTCATAGGACTAAAGAGGAAGGAAAAGGGGTGACAAAGCATTCACTCATTTGTCTATCAATTGGATTAACAATCTTTGGTTTGGTTTGAGAGACAATCAGACAATCCCTCAAAACCACTGAACACTACTTCGAAGACTGGGATGACTGACACGAATGGTATGATTATGTGATAATAAATGAAAACATGATTTACAAGAATGGGTTCAGCGATGAAATTGAAGGAAATATAACCGCAGGAGAGAGTGATTGCCGACAATCGGATCCATTTGACACCTTTGGCCACGAGAGCCGACATAACAGTCGCTCACAAAGTGTTTGTTTACGTAATAATAATAAAAGCAATTGAAGTAAAGATAACACCAAATGATAAGACAATCGAAACACTAATTAAATAATTAACGACTGATTTGTTGGGCAATAGTTGTCGTCAAAACCCATACTTTAAAAGCAGTGAAAACCACTTAATTTGCGGTCAAAAACTGTTTAAACAAATAATAATAATAGCAATCAATTGAATGGCAATAATGTTGTTGTTATGTCTGTGTTTGGCTGCGATCACAGCTGAGGCGATGGCGTCGATGGCGGCCACCACTGAGTGTGTGGACTCACGAGGAATAATGCCATTAGTGATCAATACGTGGAACTTCTCGAACGCCACACAAAATGGTAAACCAATTCAATAATGCATTTGAAACGCGAGACACAATCAGTGCAACACTTTCTATACATTTCTATGCAATGCCACAACATTTCCATACATTTGTGCCTCACTTTGCGATCGCATCGCAAACTCGTATACAATAGCGTGGAAAGAGTTGTCGATCGGGGGCTCAGCGCTGGACGCCGTGGAGATCGGGTGCTCGACCTGTGAGAGGGAACAGTGCGACCATACGGTCGGATGGGGTGGCAGTCCCGACGAGAACGGAGAGACCACTCTCGACGCCCTCATTATGGATGGGTTTGACTTACATTTTCACATTTTTTTCTGTCCAAACTTTTGTAACAAACTTTTGCGTTTGGTTTCAAAGGCCAACCCATAAGTGCGGAGCCGTCGCCGGTTTGCGGCGCGTGAAGGACGCGATATCTGTGGCCCGACGTGTACTCGACAACACACAACACAGTCTATTAGTGGGCGATTTGGCCACAAATTTTGCGATACAAATGGGCTTCAAAGAGGAGAGTCTGACGAGCGAATGGTCACAAAAAACTCACAACGACTGGAAGGCCAACAAATGTCAGCCAAACTACTGGCAGAATGTTGTGCCCGACCCTAAGGATGGCTGCGGTCCCTATAAACCTGTCAAAGGACATGTACCCCAGAATACTGGCCAGAATTTGGTGAATTACGAGAATCACGACACCATCGGAATGGTTGCCATCGATCGGAACGGGAGTCTAGCGGTCGGCACTTCTACTAATGGTTTGCGTCACAAAATTGCGGGGTTTGTGTCCATTTAGGTCTGAGTTTTGTGTTAAATATTGTTTGTCAAACATGCAGTCGAGTGGGCGACAGCCCTATTCCGGGTGCGGGCGGTTATGTGGACCAGGATGTTGGCGGTGCCGCTGCCACTGGTGATGGAGATATAATGCTCAGATATCTTTTATCGTGTGTTTCATGATTTTTAAAATAATATAAAAGCAGTTGAATTAACAATACATTGAATCAATAGTTATCAGGCGGTGGAGTATATGAGACAAGGATTGGCTCCAAAGCAAGCGGGAGAGGAAACGCTTAAGAGGGTTCTCAAGAAGTATCCCAACGTAATGGGAGCTATTGTTGTGGTCGACAAACAGGGCAAATATGGTTTGAAAAGTTCAAATTACTAAAGTAATGAGCAATAAAATTGTCGTTTGTGGTACATTTATATTTCATTAATAAAACCTGTATTTATGGCTCGATTTTTAAAGTATAAAAACCAGTTAAATTAGTTTTTATTTTGTAGCAAATTTACCCGGCGACAAATTTATTGCTCCTTAGTTTATTTCTACATCAAACTAATGGGTATTGTGTTTCAGGCGCCGCATGTATTAACGTTGAGGGAGGCTTTCCATACTGTGTGGTGAACCCAAAGCTCCGAAATGTCACTATAGAACGAGTCGATTGTCTCTCTAAAGACTACTCAAAAGACTTATTCTAAACATTTATACAAAAAATGGTTAACAAATAAATAGGTCATCAATTTTCAACCGGAATTACATGAAACATATTTTGCGGGTAATCTACTTGTGGTAAGTAAATGGCGTCCACTCTCTCGGGCCACCACTCGTGTATCCATGTCTTGAGCGGAAGACCGCTTTGCGTGTGAATCAGACTCTTGTACTGAACGGGAGATTTATAGTTCAATACTTTCAAACACGCGATTCCGTGGACTCCCTTCCGATTCCTAAGGAATCCCATTTGTTTGTTCCGATCGCATGTGATTAGCGTCGAGGGCGGCGGTCAGTGTTGGGCCACTTCGGACTCACTGCACAAGAACTCGATGGGCACCACTCTCTTGATGATCGGCGCTTTCATGTATACTTTGATTGTCTTCTCTTCGGATGTGAACAGACCTTAACAAACAAATTGTTTTACATTTTTCTTCTATACGTTTGTCGGCAATGTATTTAAGGATATCATCGAAACGTTTGTCAAATGATACGACTATGAAAACACTAATTAAATAATTAATAAAATAATTAATTATTGAATTGTTTCGCAATTGTCGTCAAAAACCATATTTGAAAAGCAATTGAAAAACCATTCATTTATGAAAAAGTGTCCAACAAATAGTAATATCAATAATAATAGCAATTATATGGCAATAATGTTATTGTTATGTCTGTGTTTGGTTGCGATCACGGATGAGGTGATGCCCTCAATGGTGGGCACCAATGGCAGTCAGGACTCAAAGCCATTTGTGATCATTACGTGGGACTTCTTGAACGCCACACAAAATGGTAATTGAATTGAATAATGCATTGAAAAGCGGGAACAGATTCGACACTTTCTATGCATTTCTACACACTTTTGCAATGCCTTAACATTTCATACGCCTATACAATAGCGTGGAAGCAGTTGTCGAGCGGGGGCTCAGCGGTCGACGCCGTGGAGAGCGCGGGTTCGACTTGTGAGAGGGATCAGTGCGACCATACGGTGGGATGGGGTGGCAGTCCCGACGAGAACGGAGAAACCACTCTCGACTCCATGATTATGGATGGGTTTGACGCTTACATTTTCACATTTTTTTCTGTCCAAACTTTTATAACAAATTTTTGTGTTTGATTTCAATTTGAAACTTTCAAAGGCCAACCCTTAATGTCGGAGCCGTCGCCGGTTTGCGGCGCGTGAAGGACGCGATATCTGTGGCCCGACGTGTCCTAGAGAACACAGATCACAGTTTCTTAGTGGGAGAAATGGCCACAGAGTTTGCAAAACAAATGGGCTTCAAAGAGGAGAGTCTGGACAGCGAATGGTCACAAAAAACTCATAACGACTGGAAGGCCAACAAATGTCAGCCAAACTTCTGGCTCAATGTTATGCCCGACCCTAAGAATAGCTGCGGTCCGTATAAACAGGTCAAAAGAGATGTACCGAATACAGGCAAACATCTAATCAATCGTGAGAATCACGACACCATCGGAATCGTTGCCATGGATCGGAACGGGAGTCTAGCGGTCGGCACTTCTACTAATGGTTTGCGTCACGCAATTTCGGGGTTTGTGTCTAATTTTATTTTGGGTCTGAGTTTTGTGTTAAATATTGTTTGTCAAACATTCAGTCGAGTGGGCGACAGCCCTATTCCGGGTGCCGGCGCTTATGTGGACCAGCAAGTTGGCGGCGCCGCTGGCACTGGAGATGGAGACATAATGATGAGATATCTTTTAACGTGTGTTTTATATTTTAAAAATCATATAAAAAGAGTTGAATTGACAATAAATTGAATCAATAGTTATCAGGCGGTGGAGTTTATGAGAATGGGATTGGCTCCACAGCAAGCGGCAGAGGAAACGCTTAGGAGAATTCTCAAGAGAGCCCATCGCAGCCATATAGCAGCCCTTGTGGTGGCTGACAAAAACGGCCAATATGGTTTGAAAAGTTACTATTTCTACATCAAACTAATGGGTATTGTATTGCAGGCGCCGCGTGTATTAACGTTGTCGGAGGCTTCCCTTACTGTGTGATGAATCCAAAGTTCGGAAATGTCACTATAGAACGAGTCGAGTGTATCTCTAAAGACTATTCGAGAGACTTTTATTCTAAAAATTTATACGTACAAAAAAATGGTTAACAAATAAATAGGTCATCGATTTTCAGCCGGAATTACATTAAACATATTTTGCGGGTAATCTACTTGTGGTAAGTAAATGGCGTTCACTCTCTGGGGCCACCACTCGGGTATCCATGTTTTGAGCGGAAGACCGCTTTGCGTGTGAATCAGACTCTTGTACTGAACGGGAGATTTATAGTTCAATACTTTCAAACACGCGATTCCGTGGACTCCCTTCCGATTCCTAAGGAATCCCATTTGTTTGTTCCGATCGCATGTGATTAGCGTCGAGGGCGGCGGTGAGTGTTGGGCCACTTCGGACTCACTGCACAGGAACTCGATGGGCACCACTCTCTTGATGATCGGCGCCTTCATGTATACTTTGATTGTCTTCTCTTCCGATGTGTACAGACCTTAACAAACAAATTGTTTTAGAAAATAAAATGTGCGACAAATGGCAGCAAAACCTTTGTTGACAGAAATGGCGTTCAGATAATCGCCATTCAGTTCGAAGGGATAATAAAAGCCAGACAACAGGTCGTCAAAGCCCTCACTCACACCCAATCGGTATCTATAGGTCCTGTAGTGGCCTAACGTTCCCTCTTCTATACGTTTGTCGGCAATGTATTTAAGGATATCATCGAAACGTTTGCCTCCCATCCGAGTGAGCAATCGATAGCCCATTTGTGGTATTCGTGGATCAGCTACTAATTGGAAGTCATCGCTAACCACTTCTGGAAGAAAGAAATCGCTGTTCTCGTTGAACCTCTTGTCGTATGTCTTCGGTATTAAAGCCCACAAATCAATGTCATCGACGGCTTCGACAGTGATATTTCGGTTTGTATTGTAACCAATGAGAAGTCGTCTTAAGGCAGAGGCGAGACTAGAGTCGACCTAATGGTGAGGAAGAATGTCATTATGAAAAACTGGTCCAAAGAATGGTTGACAATAACCTCGAGAATCAGTTCTCCGGCACTCAATAACTTGGCTTTATATACGAAAATATCGGCCAAAACGCGTCCCAAACCCGACAGCATAAAGGCATAGACAGCACTTCGCGGCACCACTTCCTCCGCAGTCGACAAATGTCTTAAATCATTGGTGAGTAATGACTGCAAATATATGAAACTCTCGGCGCCCGACACCCGAACCAACCGTTTGTTCGTCAGTTTAATGGCATAGAAGTGACTCTTTCTCACACTCTTAGCGGTGATAACGGATGACTGTCTTCGCCATAAACCACAACACAATCCATTCAAACCATTCAATCGGTTCCACATCTCATCCAAAACTTCACTTCACTTTACTTTACGTTCAAATGCTTATCACGTGATTCACGTGTTTATATCGCTGTATACTTGCAGTTAAGGCTAACATCACTGCAAACCTATTCAACTATATTTCAATTACAAGTAATTGTGAATAGTTTTCACAATAAATTTCTTATAAATTGCGATTAAAATAAAATTGCATTAAAAATGATATAAATGTAAAAAATAATGGATTAAATGAATACAATGTGATGTAATTATACGTGGCTTTGATTGTAATCAATAAAAAGTGGGCGGAGTTTACGACAGGCTTTTTAAAGCAGTGAATTAGAGGGCATTTGTGTATTACTTGTCATTGAATTAAGTGGTGATTGTGTGACACAATTGGTGCCAAACTTACATCGTTTAGTCCTCACGCCCTCCAGACACTCGTCCTCCGCAGCAATCGCGCCATGACTTCGCTGTCCATCGCAACGGTTCCCACCAAACCATTCGACGGCCAAAAGCCGGGCACAAGTGGTCTCCGGAAATCAGTGCAAACTTTTATGCAAAACAATTACAGCGAAAATTTCATACAATGTATTGTGAATGCGGCCGAAGACAAGACCAAACTCGTGGTGGGAGGCGACGGCCGATACCATAACAGTCACGTCGTGCAGACAATTATAGCCATTTGTGCCGCCAATCATGTAATGAATGCCATTCTTCTCGAGAGAGACTTGTTTTTTAGGAAATTTCTGATTTTTTGTTTAACAGTAAAATGTTTCCACATTTTTCTGTTTCTCAAAGTCCTTGACTTTCATCTCCTTTTGTTATCTCGTTTTTGAAACAACTCTTTCATGTCTTATATCTCTTTACTATTTAGTGTTTATAAAAATTTTATTTTTTGAAAAATAGGTAAAGCATGTAATCGTTGGCCAAAACGGCATTTTGTCGACTCCGGCCGTATCGGCGCTCATTAGGAAACGGCAAACAAATGGTGGCATTATATTGACGGCCAGTCATAACCCGGGCGGACCTAATGGCGACTTTGGCATCAAATTCAACACATCCAATGGCGGACCGGCGCCCGAATCGGTTACAAACCAGATCTACGAATTGACCAAAAGTGTGACCCAATACCAGATCGTGAAGGACTTGAAAGTCGATGTCTCCAAACTCGGTGTTCAGACATTTGACGTTTCGGGCAATCAGTTTACGGTCGAAGTCGTCGATCCCGTCGACGATTACTTGCAACTAATGAAAGAGATATTTGATTTCAATGCAATCAAATCATACTTGTCTTCGAGTGGTCTGAAGATATTGATCGATGCGATGAACGGAGTGATGGGTCCGTACGTTAATCGTGTACTCATCCAAGAATTGGGCGCTCCGTCTGATTCTGCCATTAGATGCGAGTCGTTGGAAGACTTTGGTGGACACCATCCCGACCCTAATCTCACTTATGCCGCAGATTTAGTCAAGAGATTAGAGTCAGGAGATTACGGCTTTGGGGCCGCTTTTGATGGCGACGGCGACCGGAATATGATTTTAGGCAAAAATGCATTTTTTGTCACTCCTTCTGACTCTTTGGCCGTTTTGGCCGATCATTTGGATTGCATTCCTTACTTCCAAAAGGGAGGCATCAAAGGATTCGCCCGAAGTATGCCGACTGCCGGTGCTGTGGATCGGGTGGCACTCAAAAGCAATAAAGAAGTGTTTGAAACGCCCACCGGTTGGAAGTTTTTCGGCAATCTTATGGACGCTCAACGACTGTCCCTTTGCGGCGAAGAGAGTTTCGGAACCGGTTCTGATCACATCAGGGAAAAGGATGGTCTTTGGGCAGTACTCGCGTGGCTTTCCGTTTTGGCCAACACTAAGAAGTCTGTCGAAGAAATTCTTGTCAATCATTGGAATAAATTCGGTCGCAATTTCTTTACTCGGTTTGCAGTGAAACTCAATTCAATTATTGTTTTTATTGTAATTAAAATCTGATTTTTAGATATGATTACGAAAATTGTGAATCCAATCCATCAAATGAAATGATGACCGAATTGGAGAAAGTGTTGTCCGCACCGGACTTTGTGGGCAAAGAGTTTAAATCTGGTGCTAAAGAGTATACCATTTCAGTGGCCGACAATTTCTCTTACAAAGACCCGATCGACGCGAGTCTGACTACAAAACAAGGCATTCGTATTATTTTCACCGACGGATCCAGAATTATATACCGATTGAGTGGAACCGGGAGTTCGGGCGCCACTATTCGCCTGTATGTCGACTGTTATGAAAGCGAGAGTTCGTCTGAGTTGAGAGCAGACGCCCAACAGGTCCTGAAGCCACTCATTGACATCGCTTTGCGAATCTCTAAACTCAAAGAATACACGGGAAGGGATGCGCCCACTGTTATCACGTAAATCAGCAATAATTGTTTGCCAACTATTATAGTCTTTATTTACAAAACGAATCGCTAATAATTTACAAATTGTTTTCTTATAAATGCATTTATTTTCTAATTGTTTTAAATTTAAATCAAAGTTTAAAAATTTGTTTGAATAACGAAATAAAGATTTTATTCAATAGTTGAAGATATAGTCGACGGACTTCTTAGAGAACTCTCTCCTTCGCTCTTTTTGGCCAATTGTATCGATTCTCTCAATACTGTTATCAACAGTTTTACTGGACTTCTGTTGGCGTTTTGACCCAGAATTCCGATTCTCCAGACCTTATCGATGGGCGGAATCCCTGAACTGATGATCACATTATAGTATTTATACAAATACTCAATAATGGCATCCCTTTTGATAGAGTCGGGCACTTGTATCACCAGAACAGACGTGAGTCGCTTTGATTCCTCTTCCACGAGAAATTTGAGACCAATCTTTGAGATCTCTTTCTGCGCGACTAAACTAAACTTCATATGCCTTTCAATCATTTTGTCCAACCCTTCGTCCACAACCTCTGCCAACGACTCTCGCAGTGCGTAAAGCAATGAAATGGAAGGCGTGTAGTGATAGACAACCTTCTCATCGCCGGTCAAACCCCACGACTGGGCCAACAGATCGAAATTCATTGTATGGGAAATTCTGCACTTCCTTTGACTGATCGCTTTGACGGCCCGATCGTTGAATGACATGAGAGTGAGTCCGGGCGAGAGTCCCAAAGCGAATTGTGTGCCAGCAATCAGTACATCGATCTCCAACTTATCCATAGATAAGGGCGCGCAACAGACAGTAGCGCTCGCGTCCACCATAAATATACAGTTGTTTTTGCGACAAAGAGCTCCTATGCCTCTGAGCGGCTGAAGAGTGCCGGCACTGGTGTCGCCGTGACGTAAGAACAGCACTTTAGGCTGATGTGCGGTCAGCGCCTGTTTGATGGGCTCAGTGTCCACTAAATCGCCCGGATTTGCCACTTGGAGTCGAATCAATTTACGGGTCAATGTCTTCGACGACTTTGCCATTCGTTCGCCATCAGCGCCGTGTTCCTGAAGATGACACCATTAAACAGATTGAATCACACGTTAAGTCTATAGACACATACCATCAGTAATATCTTGTCGTCCGTTTCTGTCAAATTACTGATTGCGGTCTCAAATGCTAAACAATTGGGTCCAGAGATGGCAAAGGAATGACGATTTGATGTCTGAAAGATATAACGTATTCCTTCTGTGATGTCTTTGAGGATCTGTTGGAATTGTGGATCCGATTGCGACAGAAGTGGCAAAATCATAGCCGCTTTCACTCGTGTACTCATATTAGTGATGCCGGCGCTAAACAAATACTTCGTCGGGACATCCAATTTGGTCAGAAGACTCTTTGGCTTCGGAGTCATTGTCTTTCACTTTCAACACAATATTAATAACAGATTTGTGTCATAAAGTCTATCAACGGTTTGCAATGATTTCAAAAGTATTTAATTTTAAGTTTAAATTTTATATACATTTCGCGTGATTTTTGAATGCAATTATAATAACAACAATCAGTCTATTGTTAGACCGCTTTCTAATGAATATTTGTCGAGTAATTCCTGTTTCTTTCGGCGGACCAACTCTTGCTGTACTTCTTGTTGTGTCGGAACGAATGGCACGTGAGATATGAATCTCTTTGGGCCCGAAGAGTCCAAATCATCCATTTCTTGGTCCACAATAGCATCGGATTTGTTCGCCTCTTTGACGCCTTCGTCGGCGACGATATCGGCCAACAATTGGCTCTCAATTTTGCGCTCTTCAGCGACGATCACACCGTCGTCTTCATCGCGAAAGCCATAGTAGTCGGCGTCGATGTCTCGCATCAGTTCCGCGCGTGTCTTTCGCGGCAAAATCGGCGGTTCGTGCGAAAACAGGTCCCGAACGCCGGGCAAGTCTTTGGCGGCGCCGAAGTATTTGTAGCCACGATTGCCGACCACTTCTCGGCCAGAGTTCTCCAAACGTGGACCAGTTCTGTGAGAAAACAAACAAAAAACAGACATTAGTTGCGGTGATAATGAGATGGAGAACGCGATGACACACCTATTGGTAAAGCCGCCCAATTGATGGATGCGATACTCCCAGTGCCTCTTCTCGCGCAAGCATTTGTTGATCTGGTCGTTGATGTCTCGGATGCGGAACTCCCCTAACCCTGCGTTTTGTATTTGAGTCACTTTTTTGCTGATCTCGCGGACGATGTCTAACCTCCACTTCTGGGCCTCTTTCAGGTCCGAGCACTCGGAGGCCAGATATGGTCGCCGCGTCTTATTTAGTCCGCCCGTCTGGTCCTCGAGTTGTGATTGTCTCCATCGCGCGAGAGTTGTCATCGCTTTCTCCGCGTTTCGGGCCATGGCTTGGATCTGATGTCTTCGCTATCAATAAATCAATTCAAATCACGTTTTATTGTGTTTTTGTCGTTATTTTGTGCATAAATTACGTCCAATCGGTGATCAAATCGTCGTTTTGTGGAAAAAAGTTTTGAAAAGTTTTTAGTTATAAAGTTATTTGAGTTTAATTAATGAGTTTTTAACTAATTTAAAGATTTTAACTTTAATTATAGTATTTATTATCGGATATAATAAACATATTTTGTGTGATTTAAAGCAAATTTATTTGAGTTTAGTTTTTAGACTTTCTATAAGATTACAAATAAAAATCATTTTTTGATATAAAATACAATAAAAGAAATCAATTTATTGAGCCATCAATTGGTTTGAATCAATTCCTGTCAGAAGAATGAATCCATTTCTGAACATCAAAATGATGTGATTTTTGTCCATTTGTTGGTCAGTATTGTGGAGGAGAAGACTAGTGGCAGAGAGGGGTCGGATGTGTTCGTTGGGACCAATGATCACATTTAACGCATTTCTGGTCACAACGAAAGCGTTGGCTGTGTTTGCGAACCGAATGGTAAGACAAGAGTTGTCGCCATCTCTGACGACACCAGAAGACGGCATTTCATCGATGTTTGAAAAGATGACAATTCGGCCCCTTTTGGGCATCAACTCAAACGTCTGGCTCTCGTTTTGAGCGTGTCTTTCGTTGATCTCCAGACGTGTGAGAAGTGGTCCCAAGAAAGCGATGTATTTGTTGGGAGCGATCACTTCCTCCGACAGTTTCACTTCGTTTTGAAACTCATTTCTCCCGAACTCTAGTTCTCTGTTAATAATTGACGTAAACATTTTGAACAATGAGTTAAACTCAAGAAACCAGAAGTTGTCGCCCATTATCACGAGTCCGGTGTTGGTGTCGACCACAGACAGGCGTTGTCTCACTTGAACCAAATGAAAGCCACTCCTTTCGCCCGTCCATACGAAGAGCAACGGCTGGAGTAGTGATAGCTGTCCTGATGCCAGACCGTAGACATCGGGACGAAGACATGTGTAGACGAGTGTATTCTCATTCTTGAGGTCTCCGTTGCCAACGATGACAACCGTAACGCCCATCCCTTGCAATACAAAATGTATTCCTCCCTCAAAGTCAATGCACTGAAGACCCATCTCGAGGACCACTGCATCGCCGTTGCGTCTGACGATAACCACCGGCTCTTTGACCACAGCTGTGGTGTCGTCCACAGCGACCGCACCGTTTGCGCCGATGAAGAGAAAAGTAGAACCGTTTGGTTGAAACCATTTGGGATATCTCTGTATGGCTGATGGGATGCCATCGTTGATGTGCGCCGGTTGGTAGCGACTGTCATACCACTGGCCCTTTTCCACCCGCGCTATGATTGGTCCGATTTGGATGTAATTGTCTTCGGGGCCGACGCGACAATAGCTCATAGAAGTACTGATTAACTTGTCGTTCAGTACATGTCTGTAATAGTCTAATAACTTTGCGACCGGTTTTTGCATCGATAGTTCGTTCGGATCACCGATTCCTCTGATTTGGATTCTCTGAAGAAATACCTGAAGCGGATAATTGTCGCTATGGAGTAGTTGTGCAGACATTTCAAGTTTGGACAATCACTTTAATGGAAACTGCTTTTTGACAGAATATAAAAATACCGGTAATTTAACCGTTTATTTTAATATTTAAACAACAATTGCAATCATAACGTGACCACTTTTGTGAATATGCTATTCATTTTAACTTAAGGCAATGTTACCATATTTTTAAGCAGAAGTTTATTATAAAGTTAAATGTCATTAATGTCACTAATTAATAATTATAAACGCATAAATAAGCAAATCATTGATATTTTAAAACTATTTCTTTGCTTAAATTAAAGTCAATCTATTTTTTATTGAAATTTACATCAATGGAAACTCTTAACTACTTTCTATATCTGACCCATAGTCGCCATCCCCGGCTCAGTCGGACTATCTCTTAGCACTGCCAGCACTTTAAGACCTGTCGGACTATCCTATAGTAGGACTCCCAACACCCCAGGCCTTAATGTGATGGCAATGCCTCGAGACTCCCAGCACCCCTGGCCTCTTATCTGCTTCCACCTCTGCCCTAACGACCAGTCGGACTATCCATTGCGGACTCCCAGCACCCCTGGCTTCGTATCGGTGCCCACTTCTGCCTTCACGACCAGTCGGACTATCCCTCAGCACTGCCACCACTTTAAGACATGTCGGACTATCCTTTAGAGGGACTCCCAACACCCCATGTCTTAATGTGACGGCAATGC